ACGACAACCGCATTAAATAGGGTCACAACGGCGTAGAGGTCCTGCGGAACTTCGAACCAGTGAGCCCGTCCACAAGGGCCGTCGGCCCACCTTACGCGACGGAGTCCAGCGTCGATATCTCTAAAATAGATGTACTCGTACAATTCACGGTGGCTGTCGACCTCCTTCGCAATGCTTTCTCTTACATCTGCTCAGTACTTCTGGTGACCATACACGTGACTCGCGATGACCCGAAATCCGCAGTTACCGTCCGCATCCACATTCAGGTAACTCACTATGTAGTCCAACATATGCCAGGGGATATTTTGCCACATTGAAAATCCAAATATATTTGTCGGTGTAAACTCTGCAATAAATATCATAATAATTTCATGTCACAATTTATATAATCATATAAATACTTTAATTAACGCTCAGCCATATTTAAAAAAAAAATGTATGACCTGCTTCCCCTTATGACTGTTGAGAAGACGACCTTGTCTGTCCACGCGAAGAAGTGTTCGTACGGCTCGATTTCCGACCTCGCGATCTATCGTTGTACTCAAAAGCAGATGGTTTACGCTTAGTTGAATTAGTTTTCTTGGGACGACCTTGCGGGTTATCCTTAACCTCAGTTCCGCATAATCCTATTGGTCTGGGTAAAGATGACTGTACATGAACTGATTCACGTACCGCATCGTCACGAGATCGTGAGTTTCAACCTCACTCACAAGCGTCTGAAAGAACTCCGCATCTGACCATGCAGCCTGGCTCGCCTGGCTCTGATGACCAGTCCCTACAAGTATACGATAAAAAAGTCAATGAATTAAACCAAATAATGTATTTTAATAGAAAATTATAAATAAAACATTAACCTTAAATTACCTGGCTCTAATATCTGTAGCGCTCTCCAGAACTGGTGAATCATTCCGAGATCAATCGGAATGTTGAAATCAACTGCTTTGCGGAGCAGACAGGCACAAGGAAGCCCATGAGTGAGCTGCAATACACAGTCGCAGCTAGTGTAAACATCAGCGTCCAAGTCGTGCATCCTCGTAAGCTCAGCGTCCAATAAACTCAGATAGTAATGCGAGACCCTCAGTATCACTCTCGCGAAAAGGATTCCCTTATACCGTGTATTCTTCTTAGATATCGAGGCCTCAAGCGCCGTCCTGATAATACGTTACATAACGTTAGATTATAATTAATTAATGCAGTAATATAATAACGCATTTAAAAATTGCAGTACGTACTTGATTTCAGTCACTTGGTTATCGATGTGCTTATTAATCTTCTGCCAAATTGTATCGAGTGCGCCGGTGGACGTCTGAAGCCACTCCTTCAGCACAGAGTGGGCACTCTCCACCCTACAGGAAGTTGTGTTTCCAAAATGTGTCACTCGGTTGGTCCAAGCCTTCACAAACTTCTCGCAGTGCCCTAAACATGTGCTCTCCACATACCGTATCACCTCTGGAGACTTCGAATATTTTGCGTGCAGCTCGGCAACGGCATCGGTGTAGGCATAGAACGTACTGGCCTCTGCAATCGCCTTCCACGTACTGTGCGTGAAAATCTCCGAGAATTTTTTACACTTCCCAAATAGTTTGTAGGCTTTGTCTTCCACATCCTTGTTGATGTGCCACGTGCAGAGTAAGTGGGCTAATTCAGGAAAATGCCTCTGAATAGGAGTGAGTAAACCCAACTCTCTGTCACTGACAACAACATAAGGATAAACGTCTTGGCCTATCAGTAGTCTCAACTTCTCTAGAACCCAGTCGTAACTGGCCTCTTTCTCGTCCCTGATGAGCGCATACGCAATTAGGAAGTTCTGGTTGCACGGTGTCATCCCAATCATCTCGACCAACGGCATCTTGTACCTGTGCAAATGAGACCAAGAAGACAAAAAATATAATCAAATAAAAATTTACTTAATCAAACACACTATTTAATATTCATACTAATAAAGTATTTATAAAGTAACATACATGTTAGTTTTGTACGTGGAATATATGCCGACATACCAGTGATATGTCCGGAATAGATTGATCGACGCAGGATGGGCCATGAATATATGCGTCAACGCTTTCGTGTTCAAATCGGATTCTGCATAAACTGTATACTCGCTGTTCACGGCCAAATGCATAAGCTGGAAAGGAACGTCTCTACCGTCGAAACTCTCTTTCCGCAGCTTATCTGTAAAGTTATATACCTGTCACCGATTAGCGTTAATTATAGTGATTATTATAATTTAAAAAAAAAATATATTATGTTAATAAATAAAAAAGTATATTAATGCGATTAATTTGATAAAAAAAATTTTAACTATCACAATAATAATACATTAGTAAATATAATAAAATTTATTAATTATTACAATAACTTTTACATATAAAAAATTACTAATTATCATAATTAACTTTAAAAAGTTAATTAAAATATATATTACAAGATATAAATATATATACCTGTCGCACATGAACGTTGTCTCCCGGATTCTTTTCCTTCAGCGCGGCCATAATTTTTGCCGGGGCCACCTGAGCGTCCGTCATATCACGAACAATTTTCTTAGATGAAGCGCTGAGGCCGCTCAACTGGCGATGACCCTCAGGATACACAGCAAATGTATGGTTATGGTAGCCCTTCTCTTCATTGCCACATCTACAGATCCTCCAGTATGGAGCGCCGGAAACCTTTTTTACTTTGATCTCAAAATTGCAGCCGCACTTATTCGTTTTTGCCTTTCTAGAATTTCCTCCTGTGCCTCTGTACCGTTCGCCTCTATGGCACTTCAAAAGCCTGACCGTTTTCTTTTTGTGGCTCGAAATTATTAATAGGAAACCATTCAGCATTGCCTGGTGTTTTGCAGCTTCAATAGCGTCCTGAGCACTATTATATAATGTACAGGTATTGAAACGCAGACTGTAATCAACACCATCTCCTCCAAAATCTTCCCATGACTCCTGCTATATAGTACAATATTTATATTTTTAGAACATGTTAAATTAAGATAATTAATTCTAGCATGTAACATAATAATTTGTAACTCATAACATGATATTATCTAACGTCCAATTTATAGCATAATGAAGTCTAACATGTAACACAATAATTTGTAACTCCTAACACGATCACGATAATATCTAACGTCCAATTTATAATATAATCAACTATAACATGTAACATAATAATTTGTTACTCCTAACACGATACTATCTAACGTCAATTTATAACATAACCAAGGCTAACATGTAATATAATAATTTCTAACTCGTAACACGATAATATCTAACGTCTAATTTATATTATAATCAACATGTAACATAATAATTTGTAACTCCTAACACGATAAACGTCCAATTTATAGCATAATCAAGTCTAAAATGTAACATAATAATTTATAACATAATAATATAGTCCAATTTATAACATAATTATTTCGCATTTAAGCCGGCCGGCCGGCCGGTTCGTACATAGCCCGTCCGACCGGCCGAACTTTTCGGACGGCTTTTAACCCGTCCGAACCGGCCGGCCGGACGGCTTAAAATTCGTCCGGTTCCGGCGGCCGGACACAAAAAATTTCGTACCTCCGAATTTGACGACATTTCACCGTACACTTTTCTCTGAGATGTTTAGAAAAAATGAAAAGGACAAAATCATCCAAGAAGGGCGGTGAGTAGTGAAATGGGGGCGATAAATAGTACCACCTGCTTATCTATTCGTTATGATGCTTTTCTGTGCTCACCTGCTTGTAGTTTTGTCTGATTTATCTGATGCGTGAGATATTAGTGATTTGATTTTGTTAAAAAATTGGAGTTAGGACTGTAATGCTTTTTTGGGGTTTTGAATATCATTAGTTGGCATTGTTGTTCTATCAAGTTGTTGCAGTTCTAAATATTCTCGATCAGTTATTTACTAGCTCATACATTATGAATGAAATTTGCGAGCTTTATGAAATTGAGTAACTAATTAACGTAAGTAGGAGTGGAGCATTTCCAACATTTATTTAACATAGGTTAATAAAAAGTTGGTGATTATGATAAGTGGAATTCAAAGGATTGGACTAACTAACTCTTGCACTTCAATCATCTTTGTGCTTACAAATGCACTTTGAGCAGAGAAAAATTGGAATGTGAAATCAAGAAGGGATATCATATTTCTTCATCCGTTAAACAAATGTTTTTGTCGAGTTTTGGTAAATCTTTGTGGGCGTAGATTGGCTTCAATTGTCTTCCAGTATAATCTATTTAAAAGTTGGTTTGCAGGTTACCTACAATTATTGAATTGATGAACTTTTTCTCTTCAACTTATGCTTTTGTGTTGTGGTTTTGTGTTTCAGCTTGTATTCGGATTTGGAAGGAGAAGCAGTTGAGTCCTAAGTTGCAATATGGGTAACTTACAACATTAAGTTATAATTTAATATGTTATTCTTTTTAAACTATGTTCATGAATGTTTGGTTTACATGTAAGTCTATCTATTTTTCTGCGTTTTCTTCAGGGACTGTAGAGTTTGTTGCATCGTACGCTGAATATTTCGTCACTTGTGCGGATATCGAAGTTGACAAATAAGATGTTGATTTGGAACGGCTCAAGTATTAAAAATGAATATTTTTTCCGAATCGAAGATGGTCGAGTTCAATATTCCTCTCGCTCCTTGGTCTTCGAGGCCAACCACCATCTTTGTGGGGGCCTTCACCTCCGTTTGATCTGCTCCGTGGTA